ATCCCGCTTCTCATCCGCAACGCCTTCAACCTCGCGGCGCCCGGCACGCGCATCGGCCCCCTCTCGTCCCCACCCTCGTCGCCATCGCTGCCCGGCAGCAACGGCGAGGCGTCGATCGTAAAGGGCTTCGCCACCATCGAAGACGTTGCTCTCGTCAACGTCGAGGGGTGAGCCGGGTGTAAGGCGTTCTGACCAAAGGGGAAAGGCCGAGGGGGCGAGGGATCGAGGGGAGTAGGGGATAGGGGAGAGGGGACAGTGAATTGGTGATTCGGGAGAAGGTGAAAGGGAGAGAGGGAGAGAGGGGATTTGATGAGATGGGGGGATGGGAAGTGTAGAGGTTGAAGGGAGATGTGTACGAAATTGCGGAGTGGGCTGGGTGGCTGCGTGGGTGGGTGTATGGGCGTTTTCCGCACTAACTGCATTCCTCTCCTCGTTCTCCTCCTCCATCCTCCCTCTACTCTCCTTCGCCTTTACAACCCACACTCGCACTTCTCTCCCTATGCCTTATCCTTGCCCCCGTTCCCCTCTTTTTGCCGCCCTCCCGCCCTCTCCTTTGTTCCCCCCTTAACTTCCGCACCACCCTTCCCCCTCTTTACTTGCGCAGCACGGGCATGGCGGGTGTGCCGGGTACAGCAGCGGACATTTTCGTGTCTGTCAAGAACGTGGGCGCCAACGTCATCGCCATCTCACAGGTGCCTTCCCATGCCTTGTGCCCTGTGCCCTGTGCCTACCCTACTCGCCAAGCCTTGATAATACACACCCCTTGCAGCGAACCACGTCCGTCATTCCTCCATGTCTTCCCCCAAGCCCTCCAGAAGTCCTGCCTCTTCTCCCGTCACTACCCGTTTCCCTCCTCTGCTTCGCCTCCGTGCACCCTTCCTCCCTCCTCGCCTTTCTCTTTCTCCACTCATCCCTATTCCGTTCCCAGGACCGTCCCTTGTGCCCTTCCCTAATCCACATCTCCTTGTCCTCCCTACTTTAAAACCCGTCCATCGCACTCACCCCACCCCTCTCCCTCCCACAAACACTTGGTCTTCGTCCCTCTCCCCACCCCGCCCCACTCCACCCCTTCTCCCAGGCGAGCAGTGAGCACAGTGTGTGTCTCGCCGTGCCCTCGCACGAGGCAGCAAAAGTGGCAGCAGCGCTGCGCATAACCTTCAAGGACGCAATAGCCGCGGGGCACATAGCTGACGTGGCAGTGATCGACAACTGTGCCGTGCTCGCTGCCGTGGGCAAGGGCATGCCCGCCACACGGGGGGTCTCAGCTGCTCTCTTCGGCGCTCTGGCGGAGGCTGGTGTGAATGTGCGCGCCATCGCACAGGGGTGTAGCGAGTACAACATCACCATTGTGGTCGACCAGAAAGACATCGCTGCTGCACTCACTGCTGCGCACAGCCGCTTCTACTGCCCCGCGGGCGCCATGGCTGTTGCTGTTGCTGTTCCTGCTGCGGCTGGGGTGGCTGGGAGCGCGGCGCCTCCGTTGGATCTGCCGGCTGCTGCTGTTGCTGCTCCTGCGGGCGGGGTGACGACGGTGGCCGTGGCCGTGGTGGGCCCGGGGCTCATTGGCGGCACCTTCCTGGACCAGCTGCGCGACCAGGTGAGGCCACTGAGGGAGAGGCAGAAGTGGGGGGAGGAGGGGTGAGAGGGGTACGAGGATGCAGGCAGGAGCTGAAATAGAGTAGAGAGGGAGCAGGAAAGTGGAGGGAGAGGGAGAGTGGGGCTGTGTGCTGGTTGTTTTCGTCTGTGCCCCGTGTTCGCATTCTGCTTAGGCAGCAAAACATGGTGCACGGTCTAACCACTCCATTGTCCATTCACCCGCCCTTGACACATACGTGCGTGGTTAAGATGACACTGACATGGCCGCTCTGTGCTGTGCTGTGCTGTGCGGTGCGGTGCGGTGCTGTGTACAGGCGGCGTATCTGCTATCCACGTACTCCCTGCGCCTGCACGTGGTCGCCATTGCTGACCTTCGCGGCTCGTTGCTCACCACTGGCAGGTGCGCTGCACTGCACTGCACTCCCCCATGCTGCACTGCAGCATCCTAGTGTCATTCCTCTCGCCCTGCTCGTTTTTTCTTAATTTTCTTGCTGCCACTCATTCCACCACAACCCACCCGCCCTCCTCCTCCCCTCCCCACCAGCCACGTGGACCTCCCCAATTGGCGTGAGCAGCTTAAGAAGGAAGGCACGTCCGTGCCGCTGCCAACCCTCACAGCCGCCCTCACAGCCCTGGCCACTGCTGGCAAGGCGCCGGGGACAGCAGCAGGGGGAGAGGAGGCGCAGGCGTGGGTGAAAGCACTGGGGGGAGGCGGGCAGATGCACGTGGGTCTGGCGGATTGCACTGCGAGCGAGGCAGTGGCGGACTGCTATGCGGCGTGGATGAGGGGCGGCATCACTATCATCACTCCCAACAAGAAGGCCAGCTCTGGGCCCCTGCCACGGGTGAGAGGCTTGGAGAGCAGGGGGTCAAGGGCGTGGGAAAGGGAGGAGAATCGTGGGTGAAGAGTTGCTGTATGTATGGTGGGCCATGGGATTCTGGATCGTGGAATGCATGTGTTTGTATGCTGATGCCACCTTCCATCATGCACCAACACACCACCCACACTACCACCCCCCGTCTGTGGCTCGTTGCCCCGTGGCAGTTGGCGGAGATGGCAGCAGCGCGGAAGCAGGGCGGGTCGCGCTTCTTCTACGAGTGCACGGTGGGAGCAGGGCTGCCAGTCATCTACACGCTCAGGCGCCAGCTGGACACAGGCGACAAGCTCGTGCGGTGTGAAGGCATCTTCAGGTGAGCTCTGCTGCACCAAAAAACGGCGCGGTTGTGATGTGCCCTGCAGTACGCATCAACCCCTGGCACCCGCGCTTCCCTCCCTCCCTCCACCCCCTTTGGTTCCACCTTACCCGGCCCCTGCCATTTCTTCCCATGTGCACATCTCCTCCTGTATATGTCACTGTTCCGTCTGCATACACTTAAGCATTCCAGGAAACATATCCCAACCACCACCCTCCCTCCAAATCTGCTCTCCCTGTCCCCCCGTCAGCGGCACGCTGTCGTACATCTTCAACTCACTGGACGGCAGCAAGCCATTCAGCCAGATAGTGAGCGAGGCCAAGGCAGCAGGGTACACGGAGCCGGACCCACGGGATGACCTCAAGGGCATGGACGTCGCCAGGAAGGTGGTCATAGTGGCGCGTGAAGCCGGCCTGCAGCTTGAGCTCTCGGATGTGCCTGTGCAGTCGCTCGTGCCCAAGCCACTGGAGGTGAGGGAGTTAGGAGGAGGAAGGGCGTGGAGCATTGTTGATGTTTTCTTTAGTGAGCAGAGATTATTTTTCTTTTATGTGGGCTTCTTCCACTGTTCACGCAGCTCTGTTTTCTTGTGCACCTTGCTCTTTTTTCTTGTGCATCTTGCTCAACCTGTGTCTCGCCCGCATTCCTTGCCCCATCAGGATGTTGCCTCAGCCGATGAGTTCCTTACCCGCCTTCCCGAATTTGACTCAGACATCACCGACAAGCTCAAGGAGGCGCAGGCAGCCAATGAGGTAACTGGGCTATGTATGAGGTCAAGGAATGTTTCCTGAAAAGACTTATGTACTGTCACAGAGGAAAGGTCGTGTGTGGCTGGCACACTGTCAGGGTGGTGAGGAGACGCAGAGGGAAGGTAGGTGCTTCTGACAGTGTGTCACTGTTCAGTGTTGCATGGTACCTGCTGATTATGCTGCCATACCCATGCATACACAAGCTTACTTGCACCCCTCCCCATCCCACCCTGATGTTTCTTCCCATCCGCCCTCCATTCAGGTTCTGAGGTTCGTGGGCATAGTGGACATGGCCAAGGGCGGGGCCTCAGTGGAGCTGAGGCGCTACCCCAAGACACACCCATTTGCCAGCCTCACAGGCAGTGACAACATGATCTCCTTCCAGACCGAGCGCTACTTTGACATGCCCCTTGTGATTCGAGGCCCCGGTGCTGGTGCTGCTGTCACTGCTGCTGGGGTGTTCACTGACCTTCTGCGCCTCTGCTCCCATGTTGGTGCTCCTTGCTAAAGCGGTTGGTGCTTTTGTACGTGAGATTTTTTATAAAGTTAGTGGATTGGTAGTTGTAGTGGAGGATGCGCTTTCCTCATAAGATTACTGAAGTTTATCCTGGAATTACTATTTGTGTACTGATGTGGAATAGGTATAGGAACGAGCATGATGGCAAACAACACTATGGAAACAAACAGAACATGAGAATGTGTACTGTTCTTGAAGTATGCAGTGGGTGTGCTCCTTGTCCTGGATTGCATGAAACCTGGAAAGCTGGTATTATTGGATTCGGATAGCTGAGCCTTTTCAGTGTTTACTGATTCCAATCTTGCGAATGAGTAGTACAGCAAAGAAGCCTCTGTAATGTCTGACCAATGGACTTACGTGGGTGACGTGATTGACACTTCCCTGCGACGAAGCGGGTAGTGTGGCACGTCGGCGAGATGCGCGCGCCGGGTTGCGGTGGAAGTGCGAAAATTGGACTGCCGAAAAGTGGAAATCCTACATTCCCGCTGGTCCTTGCAAGTGGAACACCACGGGAGACGGATTCTCGACATTTTCAGCATCACATCTATGTGGTCTGGCTCCTAGAACTGCAGCCCACCACATCACACCTCCACGCCACGGCCGTTGTCGTGATGTTTACACACACACATCATTCATCATCGACATTGCCTACTCTCTTCCATGAACAGACTGTCCTGTCTGTCTGGAGTAACAAACTGTCCCGCTTTTTCCTCTTTACAGTAATCGCCGTCCCGCTTTCCTCGCGTCATAGTATTCCATGTTCTTACCAGTAAGCAAATTTAGTGCACGAAACGCCAGAAGTGTAGTGCACCAATCGACACAAGATTGCCCTTTAGTATCGCTTTAGCAAATCCGTGACTCACCTCGCAGGGCAGGCGACGAGGAGCTCAAATTGGCCTCAACAGATCAACATTCCGGTGCCCATAGCGGTGACTGCGCGGCCACAAATGGCCGCAATTAACGCATATACGCTCGTCGCGCTGCTCCTTGTCCTTTTCACGAACCTCGCCGGCATCGCCGCCCTAGGTGAGCACCATGGCTTGTTTCCCGTTGTCCAGCTCTCGCATCCATATTTCTCGAGAGACACGCGCCACATCTATTCGGGACAATAAGCCACATCCATGATTTTCCCTCGCCTCCCTGGTTTTCATGGTTTCCTTGTGCTTCCCTGCGACGTACGCCTGCCCTCTCTCCTCCCACGCAGGTAGCGCCGAGGCCAGCCAGACGTATCCCGCCAATCCCTCGTCGCCATGGACAAGCATGAGGTAAGGCAAATCCACCCCAAGTGTGCTTCGGGTAATGGTGCGTCGACATGGATACAGATTATATACAGGAGCATCGAAAACATTCTATTATCGTCCCTTTGTTTTACCCCCTCTGAAAATCCTTGTGTTTTCAGTCTTGTCTACTTCTGGTCCCCGAATCGCTGCGCCGGTAGCTGTAATAGCATCTACCATGCTTGTTCCTTGTCTTGGCACGCGCTCGTATTCCCTCGACGTGTGCCTTTTCTTCCCTTCGTCCCCCTTCATGCTGCCACGCCGATCAGCTCGGACCATATCAGGAGGCTACACTACACGACGGCAGAGGTAATGACACATCTAAGCAAGGCGGCGGGCCTCACGCAGACCGCGGCGCTGCTGCTTAAGCAGGAGAACTGCCACCTCCGTCTCGTGGCGTCCCGCCAGTCGTTTCATAATGCTGCGATCCTTCTGAAGCAGAAAGAGAAAGATTTAATCGTGGGGCAGATTGACAACGCGATCGCTACCATTGGCGATGTTAGGGGATCCCTAGAGCCCGTTTTCCATCGACCCGCTATGGACTACCTTGATGGGGCGCTACGGTTGGCCGACGTCGCTCGCTGTTCATTCATGGATAGGCGAAAGCGACGATCTGCATAGAGGAGGGAAGGAAGGCACGCAATTGCCGAAGGGGGGATGGAAATCCATATGTAATATGTGCTTCTCTTACTGTAAATGCGAAATGTAGGTTGGAACATAGTAATCGCTGTAGTGGTTGTTTATAGAGGAGATGCAATGAGCAGGGTGTCAAGAAAGAGTTAGGAATCATGGGTAGTAAGGACGTGTCTCATGTGAAGGTTCCGCTGGATCTGATCCGCGACCAGAATCTATACGCCTGGTCCGGGGTTCTGGTCCGACGGACCTACTTGGCGGACCAGAGCTGGACCAGACACGGACTGGTCTGCCTGATGCGTCGCGCTTCGGGCTGAACAGTATTTGCGAGACACAGCAGTAGCGACGAATCTGAATTTGAGCTACCCGTTTTCTTCGTCTGCACAAAGATTGCACGCGAAACTTACAAAGCAGGAATTTTCGCCAAAACAAATGTTTCCCCACCCACTGTTTACGGACCAGGCGCGGACTGGTCTGGAGGGTCAAATAAATGGCACCGTCTTAGTGCCATTCGAACGGTATAACGGGGTTACAAGCCCCACATCCTGGTCCCGGCCCGCCCTGGTTCACGCGCTGGTTCTTGAGCTGGTCCGTCAGGTCCGAGCCGTATCCACGTGGACCCAGACATCTGAGACACTCTCTAACTTGAGAGTTAGGAATCACGAATAGTAACACTTAGGGCGTGTAACTTTCTCTCTTTTTGACCGTCCTTACCGTATACGAAATCGGTATTCGGATCTCGTCAGAACCCGCATGATCTACAATTCGATAACGAGCTTGGACGTTACTAACCGTGAGCGGGATACCCTGTTCGCATACGGTACGGACGGAAAAAGTTACACGTCCTTACGAGAGCATCTCCCACTTCTGGGTCACACTTGGTATGTGTGTACACTCAAGGTTCGAAGAGCTATCTCGCCCGTTTCTCTTCATTCCGTTCGGATCTCTCAACCTGCCCGACAGTAGAGAAAATGTAACTGGCTGCTGTCCACACAGTTGAGATACACTCACGCACAGACACGGCGCGGTTCGCCACAAGCCCCTCCAACTAGAAATTACCTGCATTGGCTGCGTCCGAGCCGCCATCTCTCTTCCCACACATTGCCATGAGACCACATTTCGAACCGCTCCTCACATCCAGCTTGCATTCCATGTTGCAACGCTTCATTCTTGAATCGCACGAGGAACATGGGGGTGCCAGCCATCGCTGATCCATGGTGGGAAAAACAGAAATTCCACTTGCCTTGCCTCAGCAGCCAAATCTCCACTGACCTTCCACGGCCTTGCCTTACCTCAGCAACCAAATCTCCACTCATCTTCTACACCCTCCCACCTTCTTAATCATCACGTTCCTCTTCATCCTTTTTTTCGCCTAGCCACTACTTTCGCCTAGCAGCTACTACTTCCCGAGAAGGCTCAAAATCAGCGAGTGGCCCTGCATCTGTCACTACCATTATCACCATCCGCAACGTCCACAGCTAGACCCTTGCCTCAGCCCCTGTGGTTTACTTGGTCGATAATACGCGCCAAGTCACTTCCTTCGGACCAGAGCTTTTTAAACCTTGCCACATGGCGCCCCACTGGCCGTTCCTATCAGTCGCTGGGACCGCCGCCGTGACGGCCAATGCAGAATCTCACACCGCCGTGGATAGAACCACCGCAACCAGAGCGATCCTTGGCGCTCGGCTCAGCGCCGTCCACGCTGGCGCCTCGTCGTGGTTCCCTACAAATTCTGCTCGGTCCCGTCACTCGCGGACTGGCCTAGAGGCACACGCTGCCTCACGACGCCGTTCCGCCGTCTTGTTTATAGTTTCGCTGGTACTTGTCGCATCATGCGCGGCCGTCGCGTTAATGAGTCTCAAGGCAACAAACCCAGGGAACGATGGCGGCATTGTCAGCGGCTTGGTGATTATTCGCCGAAACCTGCAATCTTCCATCTCCTATGTGACGCTCTCGACGAAAGAAACAAAGCCGACGACAGTCGACGACGATTACGAGTTTCAAGGAGCTCCGAGGCTCGCGGGGGAGCCCTCCGCATCGGCGGACGTGCCGTTAACGTGGCTCGATAGTCCGTACGTGCGTCGACATGTGATCGACATGCGGTCCGAGGCGTCGTGCAAGGCCATCATGCCCTCTCCGGAAATATCTTCTGACGCAAATTCATCAAGGTAAGCTTCCCGCCAAACACCCGTCTGCCAGGTTTGACAGGGACCTGTTCTCCTCTCACTACTGCGATGCTCAAACCTCCAGGCGCTTCGACAGTAGCTCGTTGATTAACCGTCACAGCTTACCCTCCAAACCTTCGTCCAACTTGAATCCCGCAGTGGCCCACTTGCGGCGTCTCTCGGCCATCTCGCCAACTCAACAGAGCGCGTGCTGCTCGTGATTCCGCGCCACGGCCTCGGCAACAGCCTGCGCGGCTTCGTCTCCGCGTTCGTCTTCTCGCGCGTCTCCGGCCGCCGCCTTGTGCTCTTCCACGGCGGCGCGCACGGCAAGGTTCTCGACGCGCTCTGTGCCGCATTCGACTGCGGGTTGGACGAAATGCGAGGACTCGGCGCGGAGGAACAACAGCTGCTGGCTTCTCCAGGAAATGATGAGAGTGATGCTGCCGCCGGTGACGGGAGACGAAAAGGAAGGCTCGTGGGAGAGGCGGCTGTGCGCGCTGTGCTGAAGAAGCTTAACTTCGTGGATCTCCAAGCGCAGGGCCGCTCGCTCGGTGCGTGTCAATATGTCATCGCAAACAGGTTCTTCAAAAAGAGAGAATGGCGCCCACGAAGGGCGTGTCTTCATTGTGGCTCTGAACATGGGCATTGTGTCAATTCCTGTATCCAGTTTACAACCTGTTTAGCATATGCATACACGCTTCTGTAACTTAGTACTGATCCACCCTCCACTCTCCCTCCGTTCGCATCTCTCCATATGTTTCTTGCAGTGGTGCGGCAGTCCATACCATCAGCCACTCCCTTGGTTCTCTCGCGCAGTGCGCACAACTTTGACGGCTTCTGGCAGCACTACCCCGCTGTCAGGCGCTGCGTTGCCGCCGCATTCAACTGCCGGGAGGGCGACGCCTGGTGTGTGCACTCACATGCTCTGCAGCAGCTGCTTCCCCGGCCCTCCCCGTATCTTGTGTCTGCCATGCGAGCAGTGGTGCGGCGACGGCGGCACATGGGAATCGGAGGAGGTTTGCTGGAAGCTGGTGGAGATGAGGAAAGCGATCTGTCACTCCAAGGGCTTATGTTTGACATTGCGCTGCACATGCGCACCCGGCCCTTGTCGATCGAAGGGAAGGGTGGGGGTGGTGCGGGCCGTGGAAGCAACGTGGAAGATGGGAGCGCTGCGACCAACGAGCTGGCGCATGTGGGATGTGTTGACGATGATGGCACAGGGGAAGAAAAGCGTCCGCGCGCGAATGCAACCAGTGCGTTCCTACAGCGCTGCCTCTGGTCGTGCCTTGATAGTGTGATCCGAGAGTTGGTACAGAAGCAAGGGAATGTCCCTCCCCCCCTTTCTGCTGCATCCAACTCCTTCCCTCAACAACCACTCTCCATTTTTTTGGCCACTGACAGCGAGGAGTTGAGAGGCGAGCTTGTCAATCGTCTGTCAGCTTACGGTGATGTGTACTACTCAACAGGTGCTGTCGTGCACTCCTCCAAGTCTGCTACTAGTGTGGCTGGTACAAGCGGGGAAGGTGCCCACTCAGCAGCGAGGCCCAGTAGGGACGAAGGCCCAGGAGATTCCACAACAGCCACTGGTGGTAGCAAGGATGAGCTTAGCTCTACAGCTATCCCCCAGGGGAAGCTGGCATGGAACCTGCCCACAATGGGGGAGTTTTTCCTGCTGAGTCGAGCACACGCCATCATAGAGGCTGGCGAGTATGTAAGCTCATTTGCGTACCAAGCTGCCCTGTTGGGGAATGGCACCTTGGCAGGGATCAAGTGGGGCAAAGGTGAGGACAAGAGCTGCTCCATTAATTTGGTGCACCAAGCAGTACGCTGGAGTGAGAAGCCCACACAAACCATGTAAATTCTATTTTATTTACCATCTCGTGCTTCATGAGGGGAGAAGTAGATGATTTCAGTGTGATTTTCCCCGAATAGATATAGAATTACGTTGGAATGTTCTCACGTAACCTTTTGTTTTTCCAACTGAATGGTATCTGCTGCAATGAGTGTTGCCTGTGTTTGTGAAGCAAACTACAGCTTGCAGCAAACCTAGGCAGTGAATCAGGGCTTCGTATAAACTGGGATGGAAAACTACATACATCCCACATGGACGGGGAGCAGACTCCGCACACGCATCTTGTGGCGGGGCTGGAGTTGTCAAACCTCACTCAAGTCACCACCACAAAAGCACCCCAATCTTCAGGGTCGAGCCAAGCCCCAACTGCAGACCAGACGGAAGGAGTGTGGACAGTCAAGTCCAGCCAGCGACTCTCATGTGCGAGTCTTGGAATACGATGTACAGGATGATGATGGGTTGGGTTGGGTTCAGCCCCCCGCATCGTGCTGGCGAATGTCGTCACTCGCAGATCGTTTCCCGACGTGGTTACCACTTCGGGTACCTCAACAGTGGACGAAACAGCTTGACACAATATACTCACGGTACGGTACAGTGCCCCCGAAAGATTTCGCTTGTGGGTGAATGCGGTGGAACAGAACGGAACTGTACAGTGCCCCCGAAGTTCATGGTTTCTGTACACCGTACAGTACAGCTTGCTAATGCAGGCGCCAACAACGCTTCCCTGCATGACTCGTATTCCCTGCTCTTAGCAAGAGCAACCCCGCAAAATGGGCCGCGGTTTGCGGGGGGATTCCCCGTCGTCCTACTCCCCGTACACGTATCACCATCGTTTCTACGAGTCGCATGCTGTCGCTACGCTTCCGCCCCTTCTACCAACGCCCAATACTTTAGTGTATCTCCCTTCAGCGTCCTTCGCCTCCCCCGATATCGTCAACCCCCATCGCGACCTCCTCACGTTCTTCTACACCCAAGCAGCCCTCCCGCCCATGCCTTCACCCTCGCGATCCGTTTGGACACATGCCGCACACGCAGAGAGCCCCGCATCAGTCGCCGCCTTAATGGGAACAAAAGCGGCGCCGCTGCGGCAGCCAGCCGCTGCATCCCCAGCATCTCCCCCCCCACCCCCTGGTGGTACCTCTTCCGCCTCGTCGCCGGGCCGGGGAGGCGCGCCGTCGTCGCCGTCGCAGGGTTGCGACAAGCAATTCTCGTACACAGCGTCGGTGAGATTTCCCAGCAGCCAATGCCTCTCGGCGAGTCGAAGCGCCCAAATCTCGAAAACGTTTTTCATGCCTGTACTCCCGTCCCCGCGTGACATACCACATCCCATCCCTGAGGCTATCAATTTCCGCCCTAGTAATAGAAATATTCATTCCGCGTTTCGTATTGTCTCTCCGCGGGCAGACGGGGTGCACGGGCGGGAACGGCGCGGCGGTGGGGTACGTGTTCGGCGGGCTGCTGTGCATCCTGCTCGTGCTCTTCGTCTCCCTCACCGCCATCTGCGTCTACCGCCGCCGCTACGCGCGCTACCTCTCCACATCTGAACCCCCCCTCCGATCGGTAACCCTCCCTCACCGAAAACCATCAACCTCACCCTGTTTACCGTCGCTATGTCTAATCCCCTAACTGGTTCCTCGCTTGCATCTTACCCCACTTTCTCCTCGCACTGCTCCGCACCCGTCTCATTCGCACCCTCGTCGTCCCTTCCCCTCTGCCTGAATCCCGCCCGGCCGTCCCTCCGCCAACCCGCCCATCCATCAACTCCCCCCGAATCCAGGACCTATCAGGCATACAACCCATGGCAACAACGCACTCCCACCAGGCACCACGGAAGGAGGACCCCGCGCCGCTCACCCCCGAGCCCTGTCCAGGCGTGTGGGTGACTCTCCCCGGCCCTGCTGACGCCTCCCCATCCGCCTCGGGCGCACCGCACCCGCCTCTCCTGCAAGTGGCCTGGCCCGAGAGCTACGACCGCCGCCTTGCTCGCGCCGCCCGCGCCAACCACCACGCTGCGGCTCCCACTGCTGCTGGCTCTACCCTGGGCCCATCGTCCGCTGCTGCTGCTGCTGCCGCTGGTTCTGCTGCTGGTTCAGCCGGTGCTACTGGCAGTGGCAGTGCAGCCACGACGGGCCGGGCGGCGTTTGGAGCAGGGCAGTCGCTGTCGTTCCGATGGCCCAGCGCAGGGGGGTCCATGCGAGCAGGCAGCCATGTACCCTCGCCCGACTCCTCTGTCCATTCCATCTCCAGCCTCGAGCCTTCGGTCCATCTGTCTGTTAAAGGGGGCGCCAGCTTTGGCAGCAGCGGTAGGGGGGCGATGTTTGGGAGCGGATTGTATGGGAGCATGGGGAATGGTGGTGCGGGCGTGGGGGGGTTAGCTGGTGGTGGGGGGGCGGGAGGAGTGGTGGCGGTGGGTGAAGGGGTGTTTGGAGTGGCGTCTGGGGCCATGCTGCCTGTGAGGGAGCAGGGTTGGGGCACTGATGCTGTGCCCGGTGCTGCTGTGCAGGGCACGGGTGTTGGCGAAATAAGTGCTGCTGGCAGTGCCGCTGCTGGTGGAGTCTTTGCCGGCGAGTCAGGGTCGGGAGTTGGTCCAGAAAATGCTGCTGCAACAGCAGCCTTGATAGGGGCTGCAGGGCTAGCAGTGGCAGGCATAGAAGGGGAAGGGTCAGGGTGCAGCATGAGGGAACACCCAATGTCCACTGCACAATTGCCGGTTTCATTAGAGGAGAGTGTGTCACTAATAACACCACTGCCCGTCCCGGCACATCTGCAACGAGCAGAGAGCTGTCAGGAGGGCAGCTTTGGCAGCGGAGTTGGCGATGGTATTTGGAATGGTCACAGGCACGGGCATGGGCACGGGCAAGCGGGGGGTGGGGTGGGGCAAGGAGAGGAGCATATGGATGGATTGCATGGTGCAGGGCTGGAGCACGGGGGGAGGGCAGAGGGTCGGCAGCACGGGGGCAACATCTGGCAGACCATCTCGTCTCTCTCCATCTCGCGCCATGCTGCTGGGCATGACTTATGATCGTCAACAGCATGTCAACAGCCCTGCTGCAAATGTTCATTTTTTTTTTTCTCATTTGAAAGCTCGTGTTTCCCGTGAAGTCCTTGCCTCCTAGACACGTTGTGTTGGATTTAGGTAGATTTGGCTGGCACAGACCTGTGCATAGTGGTTTGGGCTTTTCTGTGTGCTCTTTTAAGTGAGACAGAGCGCGGGCAAAACCGGAGTGGAGTAGTTCTCCACTCAACATGGCAAATGCTACCGTAATGCTGCCTGGGAGTGGTCCTGATGCCGAGTAAGCTAAGGACCAACCAATATGAAGACTACATACAAGCCCAGATGGTGTTCTCCTGTCGGTCTTTCACTGATATATACCCATAACCCCTTAGCAAACAAACCTCTACACTCATGTACAACACTCTCAGCTTCACTGCAGCCCGATCAGAAATATCGTATTGATCGGCAAGGCTAGAGTCACCCTCACTGCGGGATCTCCCCTCTTCCAGGTGTTTGTGGCAGCAGGTATTGAGTGAGGCTCTTACATGGGCTCCGCTGAGCGACCTGGGTGGAGAAAGCACAGACAGAGGTAGGTGATCACAGGGGAAAAAAGGCGTGAGTGGGAGTGTCTGGTGTCTGTGTGAGCACTAGTTGCAGACGAGTGAAGAGGAGTGAGGTGGACACGAGACACAAAGCGCATGCGAATGAGATACCACAGAGAGCAAGGTGGCCTGTCTGGGACGAAGTACGGTACTGAGAGGGAAGGAGCTTTCTGGTTAGACGGGGCCACGTACACTGGATTTTCCGGGAGTTGTCGGTCATTCTTTCGTACTCGCGCCTGTCGGCTGCCACAGGCGTGATTTCAGGAGGAGTCGCTGACAACGGGTCCGTTTCTGCGGCGGGTGCAGGCACGGGGAGTGGGCACGGATTGGAGGCAGGTTCAGGAAGCTGGAAGAGAGGGAACTGGGAGGAAGCACTACGAATTGAGCGGAATAAGCGCAGCATAGGTAACAGGAACACGGGACTGTGGATTGATGGGGGGTGTTCTATTTGCAGGGCCATCGACAGGGCATTGCGCATGAGTGGTGTTGCGGGGTGAGTCGTAGGCTGGCAGCAGTGTGTGCATGGAGAGGGGTGAGAGGTGAGAGGTGAGAGGGGGCACTCACCTTGGGCTGAGGACTTGTGCCTTCTGCTGTACATCAGAGCAAGTGCCAGCAGCAAGCAGAAAGCTGTGACAGAGAGAGTCACAATCCCTGCTATCACCCCGCCAGACATTTTCTTGGAGGTTGCTGGTGGTGGTGGTGGTGGTGCTCGTGGTGCTGGTGGTGATGATGATGCCTGGGAGGGGGCGGGTGAGCTTTCATTTCGAGCTTGAGTGGTGGGAGAGAGACAGGGGGGGAGCGGAAGAGCAGAAGGGAGGAAGAGGAGGGGAAAGAGCGAGAGTGAGTGAGCGAGAAAGTGTCTACCGGACAGGTGGACAGGAACTGTGTTTGGGAAGGATTGGGAGGGAGAGTGGGAGAAAGAGTGGGAGGGAGAAGGAGAGGCAAGAGGTCTCTGATGCTCAATAAGGATAAGCAAGTGACTCTCCCAAGAGCGTGTGTGCAAAAGCACACCATAAACCCAAGGGGCAGAAGAAGGGTTGGGGCAGCATACCGGGTTTCACGCCCGGGAGGCAGGAGGTGCAGAAATCAGAGCACTTGCGGCAGAAGAGAGAGGAGTCGTTCTGAGGCACCTCACAGTACACGTCGCCTGATAGACAGTACACCTCGGGCTGATCCACCTCCCTGCCAGGGGTGTGATGCGGTGTGAAGGTGTTCAATGAAGTGTGATGGGATTGAGCCTGCGTTGCTGCGGGGTCGACTCGAAGAAGCCTGGGATGGGCGAGAGAGAGTGCCATGATGTGGCGGGCGGCTTGGCAGGGCAGCGGCGCACTCACAGCACTCGCAGGTTCATGAGATTGCCGAGTGTGGCTGGTATGGATGCCTCTATGTTGTTGGTGCGCAGGTCACTGAGCGGCACACGGGGGGGAGACAGGAGCGAGAGGATGGCAGCACCGGCAGGCAGTGGGGTCATATGGCAGTGGGGTCATATGGCAGTGAGCATGAGAGCGGGTGGAGAAACGAAGAGGGGGGGGGGGGGGGAGAGCAGCTCTTGACCCGTGAGCAGCACTCGTGTGGGGGAATGAGCAGCACTCGTGATGGTGTTGCGTGGATTAGTGATGTGATGGAGGGGGAATGAGCAGCACTCGTGTTGTGGAGCCCGCACGCTGGCATGAGCATGAGAGGGTCGAGTCGAGCATGTGTGCTCTCACATGTTCTCAAGCAGAGTGAGCTTTCCCAGCGCCGATGGAATGCTGCCTGAGAGCCCATTGGCTGAAAGCTCCCTGACAACAAGTGCACGCATGGGAAAGGAAGAAGAGGCAGGCTGGAACAAGGGGCGGTCAGGGAATCCCAAGGACTCAGTCGCATGCCATGCTCGCAGCTTGCAGCAGGTGCAGTGGTAGCGGGAGAGGTGGAGTCAGAGAGATCAGAGAGCTCACTGTGGCACGAAGGAGGGGGTGCGTGTGCGAGCAGATACATAAGGCTGACGAGGCTGCTGAATGCTGATGCAGTGAAAGGCTAAGTGGGGGGCGGTCGGTCACGCATATTCGTCCAGATTCTTGAGGTTTGCTTGCAACAATTTGGTGCGGTGCGGTGCGTACAGGTACTCGAGGCTGACGAGGTTGCTGATGGTGTCTGGAATGGAGTCCGAGAGGATGTTGTGACTCAGGTCCCTGTTCCGTGGTGTGCGTTGGGGTTGGGGGTGCAGGCAGTGGGGGAGAGGAGAGGGAGGTATGGGGTTCTGAGACGTCTCAAAACTACACTTATATCACATGAGATTCGCATGCAGCGAGCACAGAGGATGTTGTGGCTCACATCCCTGTGCCTCATGTGTTGGAGGGTGCATGGCGGTAGGTAGGGGGGAGGAGAGGGAGGGATGGGGTTCGCATGGGGCGTGCAGAGGGGGAGACGGTGGAGGAGAGAACGAGGGTGAGAGGAGTCAAGGAAGGGAAGAATGTAGTTGTTCGGAGAAAAGTTTGAGCAGTGCGATGAGGGTGATGGGAGATGGGAGAGGGGAGAGGGGAGAGGGGAGAGGGGAGAGGGGAGAGGGGAGAGGGGAGAGGGGAGAGGGGAGAAGGGAGCGGGGAGAAGGGAGAGGGGGGAAGAGGGGAGAGGGGAGAGGGACGAGGGGAGACCGGAGACGGGAGACGGAATGAGGGAAGAGGGGAGGGGAGGTTACAGGCGTTGCAGCTTTGGAAGCCTGAAGAGCTTGGGGGGGAGGGGGCCGGTCAGATGGTTCGAATGCAGTGTGCTGCCGTGGGGGCAAGAGTAAGAGAGAGAGAGAGAATGAGGCATGGGGGAGGGGTGGTGGGAGTGAGAAGTGAAAGGGGGAGGGATGGCAATGAGTGGGTGCACTAGGGTCGGATGAGACGACAGTGCTGGGTGATACGAGTGTGGGGCCGAATCATGCAGTGGGCTACGAAGGGGGAGATGAACTAAGGTCTGGGAGAATATTGGGGTTGGGAGTTGAAGGGGGCGGGAGAGCAAAGGGCCGGGAGAAAGCATGCAGGAGACAGGCGAAAGGAGATTGGGAGGAGCGGAGTCACATGTTCATGAGGTCTGTGAGTTGGCCGAGAACGGATGGAATGGTGCCCGACAGCTCGTTGTTCCCCAGGTCTCTGCATGGAGAACCGGGTCACAGTTGATGGGTGGGTGCGAGGTGGCATGGAGAGTGTGAAAGCAGGAGATGGGCGCATGGTGGAACAGGAAGGGGAGGAGTCAGCTCAGAATAATTCCACGTGGTGGGAGGTATAGGGAATGAGAGAGAGGATGCAACAGGTGATGGAAGGATTGGTGATTGGCAAGGGGAAATGGGACGAGTGGCGGGGAATGGACGGGCGTGTAAGGAAGCATAGGGAGGGAGGCAGCACAAGGGTGGAGGGGGAGGGGAGGGGTAGTGGAGAGGCGTGCGCAGCAATGGGGAGTGGAGCAGGCGGGGAGGGGGCTCACAGCACTACCAGGTTGGCAAGGCCTCCCAGGGCGTTGGGTAGGATGCTCGAGAGGTTGTTGTGATGCAGCTCCCTGCAGTTCCATGCCATGCCATGAATAGGAGCAGGAGCAGGAGCAGGAATGGGTGTCAGGAGAGGAGCATAGAGGGAGCAAGGGGAGGGGAGAAGCGAGAAGGTGGATTCACTTGTGAGTAGAAGGAACCGTGCAGGGGACATGGAGGTGTGGTGGGTGGGCGGGGAGAGGGGAGGGGGGAGGGTGCACTGACAGTTCGAGGAGGTGCGGTAGCATCTTGAGGGATGTGGGCAGGGAGCCGGAGAGAGAGTTGTTGGCCATGTAGCTGGTGGGATTGCACGCACGCATGCACGGGCATGGGCATGCACGGGCATGTGCAAGGCACGCGGGTGGCACGTGGATGGCATGCGGAGGTAGTCAGAAGAAAATAATGCGAGGGTTGGTGGGGTTTACGTTGAGGCAAGGCCAGGCAGGCAGGCTGGAATCCGGACGTGCTTTGGATGGGGCAAGAGCTGCTCATCGCTCATGCATGCATACATGCATGGCACATACAGTATGTTGCACAGCACGCAGGTGATCAGATCAAGTGAACCTGACAGCAGCAGCAGCAGCAGCAGCAGCACAAGTAAGTGCCCAGCAGTGGTTGCTCGGTTACAGGTTGGCAGGAAGGTAGGATGGTGGGGTAGTGGGGAGGTAGGATGGTGGGGTAGTGGGGAGGTAGGATGGTGGGGTGTGGGGAGGTGAGGCAGTGTGGCAAGGCAGGTTGCAAACAGCAGGGGCGTACAGCAACACGAGTTTGGAGAGGTTGCTGATAGAGTCCGGGATGGACCCGTTCAGTTGGTTGTCGCTCAGCGACCTGCGCCGCCACAGGGAGGGAGGTGGGGGGGCGGAGTGGAGAGATAGCGGGAGGAGGGGTGTAGCGGTGTGCAGTGCCGGGGGGGTTGATGTGCGGACGTGTGCGGCTGCTTCTCTGTATGGATGACGCCAGGGCTTGTTGCATGTGGGGCATGGGCGTGCTGGGCAGGCAGGGGCATGTGGGGCAGGCAGGGGCATGTGGGGCAAGCAGGGGCATGTGGGGCAGGCAGGGGCATGTGGGGCAGGCAGGGGCATGTGGGGCAGGCAGGGGCGTGTGGGCTAGGCAGGGGCATGTGGGGCAGGCAGGGGCATGTGGGGCAGGCAGGGGCATGTGGGGCAGGCAGGGGCATGTGGGGCAGGCAGGGGCATGTGGGGCAGGCAGGGGCATGTGGGGCAGGCAGGGGCATGTGGGGCAGGCAGGGGCATGTGGGGCAGGCAGGGGCATGTGGGGCAGGCAGGGGCGTGTGGGGCAGGCAGGGGCATGTGGGGCAGGCAGGGGCATGTGGGGCAGGCAGGGGCATGTGGGGCAGGCAGGGGCATGTGGGGCAGGCAGGGGCATGTGGGGCAGGCAGGGGCATGTGGGGCAAGCAGGGACATGTGGGGCAGGCAGGGGCATGTGGGGCAGGCAGGGGCATGTGGGGCAGGCAGGGGCATGTGGGGCAGGCAGGGGCGTGTGGGGCAGGCAGGGGCATGTGGGGCAGGCAGGGGCATGTGGGGCAGGCAGGGGCATGTGGGGCAGGCAGGGGCATGTGGGGCAGGCAGGGGCATGTGGGGCAGGCAGGGGCATGTGGGGCAGGCAGGGGCATGTGGGGCAGGCAGGGGCATGTGGGGCAGGCAGGGGCATGTGGGGCAGGCAGGGGCATGTGGGGCAGGCAGGGGCATGTGGGGCAGGCAGGGGCATGTGGGGCAGGCAGGGGCATGTGGGGCAGGCAGGGGCATGTGGGGCAGGCAGGGGCATGTGGGGCAGGCAGGGGCATGTGGGGCAGGCAGGGGCATGTGGGGCAGGCAGGGGCATGTGGGGCAGGCAGGGGCATGTGGGGCAGGCAGGGGCATGTGGGGCAGGCAGGGGCATGTGGGGCAGGCAGGGGCATGTGGGGCAGGCAGGGGCATGTGGGGCAGGCAGGGGCATGTGGGGCAGGCAGGGGCATGTGGGGCAGGCAGGGGCATGTGGGGCAGGCAGGGGCATGTGGGGCAGGCAGGGGCATGTGGGGCAGGCAGGGGCATGTGGGGCAGGCAGGGGCATGTGGGGCAGGCAGGGGCATGTGGGGCAGGCAGGGGCATGTGGGGCAGGCAGGGGCATGTGGGGCAGGCAGGGGCATGTGGGGCAGGCAGGGGCATGTGGAGGAGTGAAAAACAAAACATGGGCTCACAGGTCTATGAGGGGGCGAATATTGCCAATGGCGGGGGGGATGGGGCCCGACAGTAGGTTGTTGTGCAGATACCTGATGGGCGCGGAGCAGGCGAGGAGGAGGAGGAGGCGAAAAGGAGGAGGAGGAACCGGGGGGAAGGGGGGAAAGATGGGTCGAGGAAGAGGAGGGGGAGTCTGGCGATGTGAGACTGAGTGAACGCGAGAGGGGCACAAGGGCAGCACATGGCAGCACAATGCAGCTCACAAGGCAGCAGAACTGTGTTAGAGTGCGGTGCCAAGTGGTTAAGTGAGAGAGTAGTGCTGAGGAGGATGCGTGTGGGGAGGGGCTGACAGGGCAGAGAGGAGCGAGAGGTTGGTGATGGAGTTAGGGATGGAATCAGAGAGGAGGTTGGAGTCCAGGTACCTGCATGGTGCAGATTGATTGCACGCAATGGCATGGCATGGCATGAGATGGCACGACATGGCATGCATTGTCAGGTAGGCACATAGTCATTGTGTTATGGATGCAGTCATGGCAGGTGGTGGTTGCTGCACAGCAACAACCTTGAGTGTGCAGGAGAGAGAGGGAGAGAGAGAGAGAGAGAGAGAGAGAGAGAGAGAGAGAGAGAGAGAGAGAGAGAGAGAGAGAGAGAGAGAGAGAGAGAGAGAGAGAGAGAGTGCGGGTGCAGACGTCAAGTGCCAAAGGCGTTCAGGCCATGGGAAGGCAAGGCAAGGGGCGAAGGGATCATGGAAGAGGAGGGGGGTGCGGGGCAGGAGTGAGCTAGAAGGGAGTCAGAGAGCTGTAATAGCGTGGCGAGTCAAATGAGGATCCCTTGCACCTCTTTCAACTGAGTGACGGCACACACGGTGAGAGAGAGGAGCACTCACAGTTCTGAGAGTGTTGTGAGCTGGCCTATGGATGGGGGGATGCGACCCGTAAGCTGGTTGTGCCGCAGAGAGCTGGGATAGGAACAGAGAGAGGAATAGGAAGAGGAATAGGGAGAGGATAGGGTGAGGATAGGGAGACGAACAGGGGAGCACCAGCACGGAGAAAAGGGAGGAGGGGCTAAGCTTGACATGCCTCACAGAGAGAGGAATATCTGTGTGCACAAATCTTGCTACCCACATACCACTCTCAGAAATATTTTATATACACCACTCATTCTGCGTGACCCCCCCTCCCTCCCACCATCGCGTTCCATTCCAAGTCTACCCCATCTGTAACCCTACTAGGACGTCTTTTGAGACGTCTTAAAAGTCTGCCCCATCTGTAACCCTACTAAGACGTGCCACCTCATCTCACCGCACCTCACCGTCCGCCTCTTCTTCTTGTGCCCCTTTGCCCCTTTTTCCCGGGCACGTACAGCAGTGAGAGCGCCGTGAGCTGGCCTATGCCATCAGGAATGCTGCCCGACAGAATGTTGTAGCCCAGCATGCTGGGGCAGGGGGAGGTGGGGGAGGGGTTGTGAGGAGGAGGTGGGGGGAAAGGTGAGGGGGAGGTGGGGGGAAGGTGAGGGGGAGGTGGGGAGAAGGTGAGGGGGAGGTGGGGGGGAGAAGGCAGGGCGGGGGGAGAGGGACGGGTGGAGAAAGACAACAATCAAGACATGGGAGGGGGATTTGGATGTACGACAGGGTTGGCAGAATGATGTATGGGGTTTACAGCTTGCCAGTGCTGGGGTGTGGGGGGGGTTGGTATGGGAAGCGGTTGGGGGCGGTTGAGTTGGGACTGACACGTAGACGAGGCTGGCGAGAGCAGTGATGGACTCTGGGATGGAGCCGCTTAGCAGGTTGTTGCTCAGACGCCTGGTGGGGGCACGGAGGAGGACGAGTAGAGCAGAGATTTTGGGAGAACCTTTTCAGCTGCCTTGAAAAGGCGAGAGCAGAGAGGGTAGGCACGCTGAGAAGAGACGGATTGGAGGCCCGGGCGGAGGAACAGCAAGATGAGGAGGCTTGCATGCAAACACGGAGGGCAGGGAGGGAGGGTGGGTAGGAAGGTGGGGACGGAGGGATGGTAGGGAGGGAGAGTAGGGACGGAGGGGGGTAGCAGAAAGCAGCGAGTGAGTGGGATGGGCAGCATGGGGCGAGCAAGGGCAGTATGGTGGAGTGAGGGGATGGGAGGGAAGGCATGGTATAGTGTGTGCACGCACAGGTCTGTGAGTGTGGAGAGTTGCGAGAGTGGGGAGGGAATGGGGCCGAAGAGAGTGTTCCACTGCAATGACCTGCAGGCAGGCAGCACGACCAGTGTGGAGCAGAGCTGAGAGTGAAGAGCTGGCAGGTTAACAATTCTAGAAGCAGATTATGGGGCGTGCAGGTGACAGGACATGGAGGCGCATGGGTGGCAGCAGCAGCAGCAGCAGACAGTTGACAAGGTCGTGAACACAGGAATCAGCAATCTTGGAGAACGAATGAGACAGAAAGAGATGAGGTGACAGACGAGGAGAGGGAAGTGAGCGGGAAAAGGTTGGCATGCGGAGCGAATGCAGGAGGAAGGAGAGGGAGACGGTTCGAGAGAAAGAGAGAGAGAGAGAGAGTGTGTGTGTGTGTGTGAAGGGGGGCTGACAGGAAGGCGAGAGCAGTTAGGTTGGCGATGCCCAGAGGGATAGCGCCTGTGAGGGTGTTATAACTCAGATCCCTGCATGCATGCATGCACGCACGCACGCACGTGCACAGATACCAGGGCAGGGCGGGTATGACATTAGTATGGGGCCGTTACGATCTGTGTCATCACAGGAGAGTGCGTGAGAGTGCCGTTGGTCAGGGATCAGTGGCATGGGTGAACAGCACTGTAAGCAACAGAGAAGCAGAGAAGAGGAGCTTGGAAGAGTGGGCGGACAGGCAGCAGTGGAAAGGGAGGGGGAAGGGTCATTAAGCGAGTAGACGGAGATGTCGGGGGAAGAAGATGGAGGACGATGAAGGGACGAAGGGAGGAGGAAGGGGGGAGAGTGAGGGGGAGGCAGTACAAGTGAGCGAGGGCAGAGAGGGTGGTGATGTCGATTGGTAGAGGGCCTGTGATCTGGTTGTTGCTCAACTCACTGCTCACTCACAGAATGATGCGTGCACACACATGCGGACACACACACACACACACACACACACACACACACACACACACACACACACACACACACACATGCATGCAGACACACACGAATACAAAAGCTCACACTCACACTCACGCTCGCGCTCACACAACCACAGACAGCCATATGCAGGACACACGAACACACACGTGCGTTGGTCTCTTATGCTACGGATGGCTTCTGTGAAAGCCGACGAGAAGGATGAGCAGAGGGAAGGAGAAGCAGAGGGAAGGACAGGAAGAGAGAAGGGCGTTGGTTTGTGTGGTGCGTGACTGACAGGTGGGTGAGAGCAGTGAGAGGGGCGAGGACAGTAGGTATAGAGCCAGACAGCTCGTTCTCCTGCAGTGAGCTGGGGGGAGGAAGGGGGAGGAGGGAGGGTGGGGGATAGAGACGAGAAATGTGGGATGACTGGTGCACGCAACGGTGCTAGCCCAGCGAGTGAGTGAGCGAGTGAGTGAAGGTGCCGAATCAAGTGAGTGAGTGGCTGCCTCTAAACAGACACGAGTTTGGGAAGCGAGCTGGATGAATTACAGGAGCGCAGAGAGCAGCAGTGGTTGGGAGAGAGAGATACCGCACAGGTGCACTAGGTTCTTGTGCGCAAAGAGGGAGGTGGGGAGTGGACCCGAGAGTAAGTTGCTACCAAGGTAACTGTGTGGGGTGAGAGGGCAGCGACGGTGTGAAGGGCATCAGTGTGAAAAGCAATGGTGAGGGATTCTGGGACTTACGATGCAGGATTGTGTTGGTGAACAGCAAGGTGGATTGGAAGTAGGAAGCAACGGCCACAGGGGCGCGGGTGTGCTCACATTCACACTCTCACTCGCTCACCTTCATACAGACAGAGAGCGGTGTGAAGGTGAGCGAGTGAGAGTGAGAGTGAAAATAGGGCAGGGGTGTGTGTAGACGCAGCTGCAGAAGACACCCACATCTTTTGATGTGCGATTATTAGAGCAGGGGAGATGCACTCTCGTGATGTGGTGTGGTGAGAGAGCGGCACCCACATCTCTGCCTTGCCTAGCAGGGAGCGCGATGTGGTGCGGTGCGGTGTGGTGCTGTGTGTGGTGCATTGAGGAGCAAGGAAGCAGCACTCACATCTCTGCCAGAGCTGGCATGGCCCCCAGGGATGCCGGCAGGGTGCCTGAGAGGCGGTTGCCCTCCAGCTGCCTGCCACAGCAGCAGCAGGGCGGGGAGGGGAGGGAGCATAAGGTAGCGGAGGGGTGGGGTGGTGCTGATGTGTGGTGCTCTGCCGGCAGAGTGCTAGAGTGAGGGAGAAATCGAGGGGCTTTTGGGAACTGCGGGAGAGTGTTGGGTGAGCGTTGGAATTGAGAGAGAGGCAGGCAGGAGAGAAGAGGGAATGGGCAGAGAGCAGCAGGCAGTGGTATGGTACGGACAGTTTAGAGAGGGAGGTGAGGTTGGAGATAGCGTCTGGGATGGAACCACTGAGACTGTTGTCGCTAAGAATGCTGGATATTGAAACAGGCGCATGCACACACATGCGCACACATACACACACATGCACATGCACATGCACATGCACATGCACATGCACATGCACATGCACATGCACATGCACATGCACACACATGCACATGCACATGCACATGCACATGCACATGCACATGCACATGCACATGCACACACATGCACATGCACATGCACATGCACATGCACACACATGCACATGCACATGCACATGCACACACATGCACATGCACATGCACATGCACATGCACACACATGCACATGCACATGCACATGCACACACATGCACATGCACATGCACACACATGCACATGCATACGCAAAGGCCCTAATGCATGCAAGCACGTGCCCACACATGCAAGCATATGCCAACACACGAATGCAAGAACAGGCAAAAATTCAGGGGAGAAGGGGAGAGCAGGCAGCACAGGCACGTGAAACTAGTGCAGCAGCAAGTGGTAGCTCCTCAGCTTTTGCTGCTGCTGCTGCTGCTGCTGCTAATGGTTGCGAGAAAGCAAGAAGGAAGCAACTCAACAAGGAGATGTGTGGAAGGGAAGTTATCGCAAGGCAGCAACCGTAAGGCAGTGGTGCAGTGCAGCAATGAGACGCCGAGCAAGCAGAGCAAGGCGGAAATAGGGATGCTATGCACGGGGGAAGAGGGAGGGAAGGAGAGAGCGCGCACAGGTCCTGAAGGTGGGCAAGGGTCCAGATGGAGCTGGGAATGGCTCCCGTCAGCCCGTTATCCCTCATGTTTCTGCATGCGCACCCAGGATTTGGCAGGGTGGGGTGAAGGGACAAGGAGGCAAAGCGAGGGAGGGAAGAGGCGCGATTATGGTGAGGAAGGAGGGCCGGAATGGTGAGAGGGAGAGAGTGGGAGAAAGAATGAATCTTGGAACAGGTGAGCATAGGGGAGTGGAAAATGGCAAATGAAAACAGGATGGGAAAGGAGGGATCAATTTGGTGGTCTGTGGTGCAGTGTGGTGATATGAAATGAGAGTGTATATGGCACTCACAGCATAGTTAGGTTACTGAGAAGACCAATGGACGAGGGAAGGGAGCCCCAGAGGTTATTTTCATTCAGAGCACTGGGGGAAGACACGCAGAGAAAGGTGAGCAGGAAAAGGAGGGCAGGAAAAGGTGGGCAGGAAAAGGTGGGCAGGGAAAAAAAGAGCGATCAACAATGTACAACAAGGAAATGCTAAGTCAATGGTCCGGAGAGAAGATTCATGGAAGCATACTTGGAAGAGGGCAGAGACGGAAGAGCATAGGGGGAGATTTGAAGGGGCGTGATGCTCACATCGTAGCAAGGCTGGAGAGGTTGGTGATGGCGGGCGGTACGCCCCCCTGCAGCTCATTGTTGTGCAGCGTGCTGGGGGGATGAGGCACACAGGCGAACACCAAGGGAGCAAAACGGAACAGGCAAAGAGGAAGGGAATGTCTGAGCTAAGGAAGGCATTCCATGGGGGTGTCTCTCAAGTTTGGCTGCTTGTGGTATGGATGACAATGGCTGCGGTAGCAGTAACAGGTGCCACCGGCGGCAGCAGCAGCAGCAGCAGCAGTGGCAACAGCAGAAGCGGCAGTTGTGGTGGCAGCAGCAGCAAGGGGGGATGCACAGGTATGCGTGAGAGCAGAGGCTCAGTTACGCAGTACTGACAGCTCTGTGAGCGCCGTGAGGGCACCTATGCCTGGTGGAATAGACCCCACCAACTTGTTGCCACTCAGCGACCTGCACGGGTGGTGAGGAGAGGTGAGGTGACGCCACGGCGGGGAAGCATGAGCATGAGCATGAGCATGAGCATGAGGATGAGGATGGATAGATTCGATGGTGGCCTGCCTTGTCTTGTCTGCCTTTCCTTGTCTGCCATGTGTGTGCCATAATCCATTCATTCTTCGATGGCTGGCTATCCACCACAGAGCATGCTTGGGCTCGTTGTGGGAGAGAGATGCGAGGTTGCATGAGGAGTGGAACTTAGGGGGCCAACAGAGTCGGGGCGCGAGGAGGACAGGCGGAAGGAAGACGGGAGGAGAGGGACATGAATGGAAGCGTGCAGCGTATTACAGAATACGCAGGTTGGCAAGGTTGGAGATGGTAGAGGGAATGGAGCCCACCAGCTGGTTGTAGCTTAGATCCCTGGTGAAGGCACACACAGGACGGATAGGTGGAAGGAAGGAGTGGAAGGGGAGAAACACGGAAAAGGGTGTGTAGTGTACTGCACTGCACTGTGCATGCACAGCTCTAGTCTGCTGTGCTCATCTGCGGTTCCGGTTTGTTTCACAAGTGTGGGGGCTTAACAAAAGAGGGCGTGCGCATGGTTGGAGCAGGAACTGCATCGGAAATCTATGAGAGCTTGAGAGCGCGAGGAACAGATCTTTGTGAAGTAAAGTGCATTTGGCAGCATGTGGCATGGGATGGCATGCTGCGCTGCAAGCATGTGTGCGAGACGAGGCGTACAGGTAGGAGAGGGCAGTGAGGTTGCTGAGGGAAGGTGGAATGATGTTGGCCAGGTTATTGGCACTCAGACTCCTGCTCGTGCACTCATACACATGCATCCATGCACGCATACGCCATCATGCCAGCATTAGCGGTCACATACACTGAGACTGGCAGAGAACCTACTGACAGTGGAGTGGCTGGAATAGAAGCACGTGAGGGAGTGTGTGGATGTGTACCCTAGCAGGGTTGTTAGGGGGTGACCCTCACACCCACACACCCACACACCCACGCACCCACACACCCACACACCCACACACCCACGCACCCACACACCCACACACCCACACACACACCAAAGAGACACACGGCTGGCACATGGAATATGGATCATGGCACATTGCACATGGCACAGGCATGCAGCAAGCAAGCCACACAGGGATCAGCAGCCACAACTGATCATCCCACCAGCACCCCTCCTTCTCTAGGCCCCCTGCTTCACAGCAAGCCTCGCAGGCTCGTGGAGTGGGCGTGCGGAGAGTCATGACTCATGACATGACTTACAGGAAGGTGAGCTTGTTGAGCAGCAGGCCCATTGCGGTGGGAATGTTTTGAGACGTCCCATGACTCATGACTCATGACATGACTCACAGGAAGGTGAGCTTGGTGAGCAGGCCCAGTGCGGTGGGAATGGACCCCGCCAGCTTCTTGCCCGACCCCAGCCACCCCAGCTTGCTGCCATGGGTGGTGTGGAAAGAGGAGGGACGGCAGACAGAGGAGGGCGGAGAGACGAGGGAGACGGAAGGAGAGATTGAGTATTGTTGCAAGCATGGATTCGGCATTACTTTCAGGTCTTCCCCTCCCCACCCCCAACTGTCTCAGACCCGCCCTTGATTGCGTTTGCCCTATTCCTTCCTACTCCACCTCGCGCTCCCCCCTGCGCCCCTCCCCGTCCTTCCCCCCAACCCAGCTGCCCCTCTTCCCCCCTCCCCCTCACATGGCGGTGAGCATGCCCGCGTCGTCGCATTGCAGCCACTGCGCGCCCGCCCTGCAGTTGCTCCCCGCGCGCCACGCCGGCAGGCTCTCCGCGCCCCACGCCGTCACACACTCCGCCAACACCGCCGCTGCGGGGACGCGCGGGAGAACGCAGTGGGAAGCGCGCGCACAAGACGGGGGGAATAGGGGAGAAGTTGGGGCGAGGGACGGCGGGGGATAGACCGGCGGGGGCGGGAGAGGCGGGGTGCGGGGAGGGGGTCCACGCGGGGAAAGCAAGACGCGTGGCGGATCGAGAGAGGGCCCCGCGAAGGGTGAGGAGCGGGAAGAAAGAAAACAATTCAGAACGACGACGCGAGGGGCAATGCAGCGGCAGTCGGTAGGGAGAGACGCGCGGGGAATTGGCGGGAAAGAGCGGCGGGGCGCAAGAGGCACGTTACATTGCGAGGCGGCGATGATTTGCGCCATGGCGGGGGCAGCAGCGGGAAGCCCGAGCATGCTAGAAGACAGGAGGACGCAGAGGACGACGAGCACTGCAGCCGCGGGAGCACATCGTAACGTCACAGGCGGCATTTGCTGCGGCGGCGGCAAGCGAGGCGCACGGCGGCGGGGAGGCGGCGTGTCAGTGACGCACGGAACCGGCGGACCGGAGAAGTGGGCTTAATTGGCGTGAGGGTGCCGGGAGCGAGAGGAGACTAAGCGGCGAAGGGGACTTCGTCTGAGGGAAGCACTTGGCATGGACGAAGGTAGAAACAGGTTGGACGTGAGGAGAGGATGCATGCACTCTTTCGTTTTCGTGCGATGGGAAAATAATTGTTGTTGAAGCGAGTGGTGGTGGCTGCTGAGCCGACCGAATGAAGTTGAATGTTGAGGTTGGTGGTGAATTTGGGCGGTGGCGCGGATGGAGGGAGGGGGAGCCACAGTCAGGCGCAAGAAGGGTTGGTGAATGCTCCAACTGATTTGCACATTGAAGTACACTAAGAAATAAAACCTATTATCCATGGCCTATTGGTGCGAAATTATGGTCATTTAAAATAATAAACATGAGAACAAATGGTCAGCGAACATCAGAAAGTGTTACGAGTGCAATCGAGTGATCGAGCGAGAATTGCACTATCGAAGCAAGAGTACAATGAGCGAAGGCATGAGCGAAGAATATATAGCGAACTACAGTGGTAACAGTAATAGACTGTGGATGTCGCGCGACGGGCATGGGACTGAGATTGTGGGGAATGTCGAAACGGAGGCCCGGAGTGCGGGTTACCCGCCGAGCCGTGAGGTCGGGGTAAGACGTGCAAAGGTGGTGGGAGGATTGTTGATGCGAGGGTTGCGAATGGTAACGGTGCTGACTGTGGTGCTACAGTGATGTACGCGCTGAGCGGGGACGCGAAGTAAGGAAAAGGAATTTTCCTTACACTACCCCGCCCCCCTAAGGAGGTCCTCCTTACGAAAGCGCGTGTACATCCCTGAAATTTCGGCTGCGCAGATACTCGGTGCGGACGGGGTGGTTTTCGATTCTGTCCAGGGGAACCCAGTTGTCTTCGGTAGGTGTACGGTCTTTCAACCGGACCAGGAACTCTATCCTTCGAGCTCCTCGAGGGTCACGAACTCTGTGGCTCAGAATTTTCTCGGGTGTGATGATTGGTTCAGTCGGTGGCCGTGTCATGCTGGCTGGACGATTACGTGGCAGTTGGCTTAGGGACGGGACGTAAGGGCGAAGCAGACTGACGTGGAATGAGAGGCTGACGTACCAGTCAGCGGGGAGGAGGAGGTGGGCGGTGACAGGCGTAATCATGTGGCTTATGCGGAATGGCCCGCAATATCGGGGGCGGAGTTTTGGGGTGATGGGCAGGCGGAGGTTCTGAGTGTCGAGTAAAACTAGGTCGTCAGGTCGGTAAGTGACAGGGCTGACGCTATCAGAGTAAATAGTCTGATTAGTCTGACGGATCAGACCATCGAGTTTGTGAAAAATGGAATTCCAGAGTAGTCAAATTTTCATCACTGAGAGCCTCAGAGTTATTGTTTTATGGCCCCTGATTCAGTGTAATAGGCCTAAGTGTTAGTCATTTCTGGAGTCTGTCACTACAGAGTATGCGTTCAATGGTCCCTACATGCGAGGTTATCGGGAGGAAGCTTCCTCGAAATTTCCTTTCGATACACCCACCTCCGAGGTGGCAGCGAATGCCAACACGTGAGCAAAGCACACAGCACCTGCTGCGATATCTGAATACACTCTATCTGTGGCAGTACCACGCAGGTTGAATTGTGTCCCACTATGGGTTAACCGTTGAAGCGGGCTAGAAAAAGAAGCCCAATAGTGATGTCTTCGCGGATAGCACAACAAATCGGCGAATCGGTGGGAGAGGATATCTTGCCACAGGTAATGTATTGTCAGATTATTATAGCTGATGCATGTTTGTAGGCTATAGTGGGGTAGCACTTATGGGGTACAGTTTGCTAGGGTTGTATTTGTACCCAACTCTGACTTAGTCAATTCATTCCTGTTCAGTTAGTTTCACATGGTATAGAGCGGGTCCCTCCTAAGGACCGTTCTTTGGGCCCACCCACGATTTTTCTTTCCTGCCCGAGGCGCGCTCCCCCTAGTGCGCGTCGAGCTGCCCTTGTGGCGCCCGAGAGTCGCGCGCGCGACTCAATTTTTTTTTTTTTTTCGCGCGCGCGGCCCAGGCCCCACTTCGCGCGGCCCTTACAGCCGCGCCGCGCCGCCCTCTCGGCTCTGCCGCGCCGCGCCGCCCTCAAGACGGCCGCGCGGCCTCTTCGTCGCTGCAGCAGGCCCCCCCCCCCCCGCTGCACCTCTGTCGGCCCCGCAGCCGCCTTACCTGACGGCCGCCGCCTCACCTGACGGCCCGCCGCCTCGACTTCTGGCCCGCCACCTTACCTGACGGCCCCGCCGCCTCACCTGACGGCCCGCCGCCTCACCTACTGGCCCGCCACCTGACCTGACGGCCCCGCCGCCTCACCTGACGGCCCGCCGCCTGACCTGCTGGCCTGCCACCTCACCTGACGGCCCGCCGCCTCACCCGCTGGCCCGCCACCTGACCTGACGGCCCCGCCGCCTCACCTGCTGGCCCGCCACCTGACCTGACGGCCCCGCCGCCTCACCTGACGGCTCGCCACCTCGCCTGCTGGCCTGCCACCTGACGGCTCCGCCGTCCCCTGTCCCGGCCCCGCCACTGCACCCTGACGGCCCCGCCGTCCCCTGCCCCGGCCCCGCCGCTGCACCCTGACGGCCCCGCCGTCCCCTGTCCCGGCCCCGCAGCTGCACCCTGACGGCCCCGCCGAGCCGCCCAGCAGCAGCCGAGCCGCCCAGCCGCAGCCAAGCCGCCCAGCAGCAGCTGAGCCGCCCAGCAGCAGCCGAGCCGCCCAGCCGCAGCCGAGCCGCCCGGCAGCAGCCGAGCCGCCCAGCAGCAGCCGAGCCGCCCAGCAGCAGCCGAGCCGCCCAGCAGCAGCCGAGCCGCCCGGTACCCGAGCCGCCCGAGCCGCCCGAGCCGCCCCACCAGCCCGAGCCGCCTGCTGCTGTCCTACCCGACTCTCCTAGCCCGGTGAGACTTTCAGCTGCTGCCATGGCCACCCCCAATGTTCTTACTTTTGACGCTGAGGGGAGGGCCATTGACTTTGCCGTCTGGATTGAAGACCTGCAGCTGTACTTACTGTGTGATGCGATAGATGAGGTCTCTCTCTTTGACTTTGTCTCTGGCGCTGTCCCTGCCCCGCCTGCTGATGCTGACTCTGCTGCTCGCTCCAAGTGGGCGACCCGCGATGCTGCTACACGTCTTGCTGTGCGTCGCCACCTCCCTTCCTCTGAGCGTGCCCACTTTAGTCAGTGCAAGACCGCTCAGGCCTTGTACGACGCTGTAGTTGCACGCTACTCCTCCCCTTCCTCCGCTACCCTTAGCCGCCTCATGCTGCCGTTTCTCTTCCCTGACCTCGCTTCCTTTCCCACTGTTGCTGACCTCGTTACCCACCTCCGTGCTAGTGACACCCGCTACCGCGCTGCCCTTCCTGCTGAGTTCCGCGCTGCGAACCCTCCTCCCATGTACATCACTCTCTACTTTCTCGTCACCCGTCTCCCTGAGTCCCTTCGTGTCGTTAGGGACCAGTTTCTCTCTGTCTGTCCCACCACTCTCACTGTCGACCTCCTTGAGGAGTCCCTGCTAGCGGCTGAGAAGAGTATTGTCGCTGTAGGGGCCTCTCGGGGTGACCCTCGCACCCCCATCTTTGAGGGGTGTGGTCCTTCCCCCCTGCTGCCCTCTGTCGCCTCTGCCGCTGCGGCCGACCTCGCTGGTTTTGAGTCGGTCGGCGCGGCGTCTGCCCCCAGCGGCAGACGCCGCTCTGGCAAGGGCAAGGGGGGCAAGGGGGCGGGTGGAGCTAGAGGGGGCGGTGGAGGAGGCGGTGGGGGTGGAGGGGGGAGTGGGGGTGGCGGTGGGGGTGGTGGCGGGAGTGGAGGTACTAGTGGCGGCGGTGGCGGCGGAGGTGGTAGCGGAGGAGGCGGTGGGAGCGGTGGGAGCGACGGTCCTGGTGGGGGAGGTGGCGGTGGAGACGGGGGTGGCGGTGGAGGCGGGGGTGGCGGTGGAGGCGGGGGTCGGAGTGGCTCGTCCCAGCGGAGCAGCTCTGGGGGTGGTCAGCGCCAGCAGCAGCAGCAGCAGCAGCAGCAGCAGCAGCAGCAGCCGCAGCAGCAGCAGCGCCCTCGCACCGTCCCCGGCCCTCAGCAGCTCCGTGAGTGGTACTTGCAGCGTCAGCGCGGTGGTGCGCTTGGTCCCTGCCCCTACGTTCTTCGCACCGGTGACCGTGCGGGGGAGAGGTGTGGAGGCGCCCACACAGCCCGTCGCTGCTTTGGCCGCCTGACCGACGCCTGGCGTCAGCAGTTTCCGGAGGCCGCTGAGATCCCCCGCTGGGGAGAGCTGTCTAGGGCTGGAGTAGCTATTTATGATCTTGACTTTGATGCTATTCTCTCTGCTATGTATGCTGTGACTGGTAGTGATGAGGATGACTGTTACCGGTGTTTCCCGCCCGACCCGGGCATTGGTACTGCCGCGTCAGGTACTAGTGAGGCTGCAGCTCTAGGTGCCAGTGCGTCTGTGCTCTCAGGTGCTGGTGAGTCCGCGCTCTCAGG